TAATCTCAAGAGAGAGATATTAGCCATTTCTCTACTTATTCATGAAATAAGTTTTTCAGACTTGAACCACACCAAGGCTTAGAATTGAAGGATGATAAGATTAAGAAGAAACCCGCTTATCATTTCCCTTGCTCAACAAAGGCAGGATTCTCATCAGTAATTTTTAAGTGTTTTGAAGTTTGATAGAAAAAGAATTTTTTATTTTAATGCAAATGCAAAAGAGGAAAGAAAATTCTAAGTGGAGACTAACCTAAATCTATCTCTAATATTATCATACAATGTTTGATCCTAAAATTTAGCTTTGAAGGGAAATCACAATCCTAAATTGACATGCTTGGATAACAATCCTAATGTTTATCTTAAATAATCATATATAGATGAATCAAGAAGTCCTAAAGGAGCATAGCAAGGGTCTCCTACTTCATAAGAGAGAAGTTTTAGCAACCGAATTATGGAAAATCTCCTACTTCACAAAAGAATCTCCGTCTTCTTTGAGGTATTTTTCTTCTACACAACAGTAGATGTCCAAGAACTAGGCATCTTGTGCTTCTTCATCACAGAAGCATCACCTCATCTTCTACTACAAAGAAGAAGCACCCAACTGAGGAGAAAGAGTCTAAAACGGTTTGTCAAACATGGAATGAACCTTGGAAAAGAAGACAGACAAGTGCCAGACTTCATACTTCAACACCTTGCAGTCTTCAATATCCTAACCAGGCGCCCTAGAATGGGGGACATATCCAATATTTTCATGGAAATCAGAAGAGGAATTTGTGGGAAGATGACCCAAAGCACGAAAGTTAATCAATAGAGTTTCCAACACATGAGGAAGTAACTGGATGTAAGTTATAGAGATTGTATCAACCTTCTTCTCAAGCTTCTTTTGTCTTTAATGATAAGCTTTTCCCCATGGGTTCACTTGGAGACCAGGAACTAGTTGCCGATGAAAAAATTCAGGAACACGAAGCTCTGGGAGAGACCCATAAAGTATCTCATGATTTGGAAAAATGTCCCATACGTGGGGGATGAATGATAGCTCCTGTTGCAACAGCGTATACATGATCACTTTTCTTTGCTGACACTATCTTCAAAACTTCCATGCCCGACTCAATTGAGTCTTCAACTGGCTATTTTTCCCCTTGAGGATTTATGACTACAGGCCATTGCTTGCATATCCCCAATAAACAGCCCCATCTGATTTTTTTCATCTCATCCAATCCTCCACGAAGTCGCTTCATGGCTTTTTCGGATCACGGAGCGGTGAGAAGTCAAGATTTGAAATTCTAGAGAGAAAATATCAGGCTTGAATAAGGATTCCCCATTATGAGTACCTTTCGAGTCCTGCTATGGATGTATGAAGATGCATGAAGATGCATGAGACGAATGAGCGGATGCAATGCCATGTTTAAACATGTTTTTTTGCATACAATCTTTCTAATTTCCTCTTTTTTTTTTGCGTAAAATAAACATGCTACGATGTAAGGCACAATAACATGGGTTCAAAAGTTCAGCATAACAACTGTACAATCCTCTGGATAACTACTATATCAATTTGTTGCATAGTCTGAATATCATAGGGTCAAAGGTTCGGCACCTATTCAAGAATACAATGGAACCAAGTACAATGAATAACCGTTGTATAATCTCTGACCAAGTTGAATATATCAAGATCAAAGGTCCAGAACATAACCAAATTATTATAGTCATCGACAGAACACAACGGTCACCATCAGAACATAGTTACCACCTATACCTGTAATAATCAAGTTCCTCCTTAATCACGGGTAAAGACTAGGTTAGGGTAGGTTAAAGGTAACTCAAAATCACGGGTCCGCCTGAAAGTGCTATCGCCTCGCCCACAGACGTGGGTGTCGATAATAATTCATTTAGACCTCATCCGAGTGTGGTATATGACATGACTGCACTAATCAGACCATGTCCTATAGCCGTCATGCCCCCACTCTATTCCTAGTGTCCTAGTGCACTCTGGCCTGGGTACCGGGCCTTTTACCTCAATAGTAACACTCACCCAACATGGAAAACTAGAATCTAGCACAACAGATAACCAATATGGAAAGCAATAAAATTCAATGCAAACATATGCTCAGATAAACATGTACAAATGAATAAACTAAAAGAATAAACATAAACACCCAAAGAAAAGAAAAAAAGAGCTAGGAGCGACTCCGGAATAGACCAGCAATAGGTCAACCAATCTCCCCAGTAAAGTCGCCAGCTGAAACAACTGGCTGAACAATCAACTGATAATGAAATAAATAAAGTTGTGCTTGTTCGGACCCTACCCCGATGCCTACGTATCCCTTTTAAGGAATCAGAGCAGCCGTAGTTCGGATTCAAATGTTTTTGTTGGTTTGTATTTTTTAATGAACAATATTAATTTCTCCTTCTGTCGCAACTCGGCCTTTGGAGACTTACGCGTCAGCAAAAAAGTGAATTAACATGTTCTTTTGAAAAGAGTTTCGAAAGAAAATCCCAAAGGCAAAAGAGTTTGTATTTGTTGGTGTTTTTGCTGTAGATAACAGCTAGTTAATCTCAAGAGAGAGATATTAGCCATTTCTCTACTTATTCATGAAATAAGTTTTTGAGACTTGAACCACACTAAGGCTTAGAATGGAAGGACGATAAGATTGAGAAGAAACCCACTTATCATTTCCCATGCTCATCAAAGGCACGATTCTCATCAGTAATTTTTAGGTGTTTTGAAGTTTGCTAGAAAAAGAATTTTTTGCTTTAATGCAATTGCAAAAGAGGAAAGAAAAGTCTAAGGGGAGACTAACCTAAATCTATCTCTAATGTTATCATACAATGTTTGATCCTAAAATTTAGCTTTGAAGGGAAATCTCAATCCTAAATTGACATGCTTAGATAACAATCCTAATGTCTATCTTAAATAATCATTTATAGATGAATCAAGAAGTTCTAAAGGAGCATAGCAAGGGTCTATCACCTAAAAATATGTCTATCTCGAATCATCATCTATAGTTTAATCGAGAGCTCCTAAGGGAACATGTCGATGGTATATCATCTCAAAACATGCACACAAAGACGAAGTCAAGCAAACAAACCAATAAGCTCAAGAGAGCACACCTAGAGAGATCCTATCTAGGTTAGCATGCCAAAGAAAGACTAACAAAATTATCTTATGGGGAACATGCCATGAGAGCAAAGTCGTGATCTCAATTTCTAAATTGAGTGACTCATCGATCAACAAGAAATCAAGGAATGCAATAAAATCCTATAGGGAGCATGCACTGAGAGCGATGTCGTGATCTCAATTTCTAAATCGAGTGAGTCATCAATCAACAACCAAGAAAACAAACACAAGCACAACACATATATAAAATGAAGTGTGGAATGCCTGCTACAGGTCTTTAAACAGCGACTTCGAGTGCACGCTCTTTATTTCCTGTTTCCTACTTTACATGATTTCTAAAAAGCGGTGAATCCTGAAATGAGATAAACAAGAAAAAAATACCAAACGTATACCAATTCGTAGCAAAGCGTATCAAAACAAAGAAATCCAGAAAAACTTCGAGTAAGCTTCACCAAGCAAAGAAAAGAGTCAAAAATCAAATGCTCGGAACAAACGTCGAAGCATCATCGAGGTGAAAATAAATCACAATCGAAATCTCAAGCGCATTTGCATATCGCATAATAAACCTGCATAAGACTCAAATCTCAACAAGCAAAGGTGAATCACAAATCTCAAGTATAATCGGATAACCGGGATTTAATTCCTAAAATCACATAAAAAAATTAACAAATTTTTATATTTGAATTTATTATTTTTATCATGTAAAAGAAAAAAAAGTTCAAGCAAATCTAAAAATTCACAAAATTATTTAAAAGAAAATACTAAAGAATAAACTCAGGGGGTTCTATTTGTAAGCAGAAGGTATGCTGAAGTAATTTGATGCTAGGCCCAGCAGTAAGAGTCCAAAAGCTGTTTTTTTGTTGTGTCAATTTCCATGGATACAAAAATTTAACATACGGGCCTAAGGAGTCCGGTCATGTTGCACCCAAATCCACATATTATTCAATTTTTGCTTCAACATATGTATAATTAGTATATTCAGAATTTTATAAAACAAACTAAAAAAAACAAAATGGGAAAGATGGAAAAGTATCAAAACGCAACGTATGGAGAGAAATTTAGGATTGAATTTGTGACGGTCCTAATTCTTTGAACATTCCTCTCCATTTCGCTACCGCGAATCAATCTTCTCCAATCCATTTCGCCGCAGTAGGTCTCCGTGAAACGCATTTTCTTTACCTCATCTCTTCACTGATCCGTCTCAACATCATTTGCGTTTCACTCTTTCTTCTTCATCACCGAATCAAACGTACCCACTTCAATCTCCACCTACCCGGTGATGCTCAGGAACACAACTAATTCAAAGGGAACCGATAACTCGATGGAGAAACAAATACGAACGAGAGGGAATCAGCGTTTACCTACCGGAATTCGTCTGGTGTATCTTCAAGCATGAGAAAGACGAAAATAAATCAGGAATCAATGTGAAAGGTGAGTTTTTTTATTTTGTAGTTATGTTATTGCTGTTAATAAAGAATCGACCTGAGCCATTGATTTCTCTTTTCTGTTATTGAATGAGTGGTGAGATGAGAGTTAGTTATAGGTTGTTATGAAATCAGTTAGGAGTGTTTAGAGTGTTAATCAATTATTTCTACGGTTAGTTAGTTTTGGAATTTTGTTATGGCCGTTAGCTTTTTGTTTGAGTTAGTTATCAATTAGTTTATAATTCTGTCTCTATTTTTTTAGTGAAATCAATTATCGAAACTGTTAAAAAAAACTGTTAGTGGTTAAGGAAATTAGGAGTTAAATAATGCGTATGCAGGGCTGCATGTTTATGAATGTTTAAAGTTCCTTGAAAGCGCATATGCACTAATCTGGTTCTGAATGTTGTTAGAAGTTCTATCAACTCTGTTAGTCGCTCTAATAGTTAGTTAGCATCGTTTTTTTAGTTAGTTAAGTGGTTAGAAACTTCGTTAATCGTTAGTCCTATTTTCAAATGATCTGATCTTTTCTTATTTGTGTTCACCCGCCCTGGTCTGAATGTATTGAGATTGAACTGAATGTTCCAATTGAAACTCGTTTTTTCCTTTTTTAAGGCTTTACTGTATGGACTGAAATTTCTAATATTATCTGAATTATTAAATTCTAGTGAATTTCTTGATACACGTATGTTGTTGATGTAACTGGGCCATTGCTTTGCTATGCACATATGCATGGAAATTTATTTTATAACATGTTTATGGAAAGCCATCGATTAAGTCTAAGAGAAACGATTAAAATGTCCTAAAGAGCGATGAATCTGGAGAATTCAGTTACCAAGCCTGTTAAGAACTCAAAAAACCGGTATTTTTGTTATGCACAATTTCTAACTGAATTACTTATCATGAACATGTAAGCTGAAATGGCTTTAGTACTTATTTTGTGCTGATTTTCCTTTTATACAGCTCAGGAAGCATGGCATATCATGATCCAACTCCTTAGCACCTTGCTGAGAAAACCAAAGTTTCTCTTGCAGTCATTTCCCCAATATGACATCACGTTGGCTGATATAGGCATCAATCGGTGAGCTTCTCGCAGTATGTAGTGGCGTATGGTTGAAGCTCGAAGCGTATGGGTAAGTGCGAATACTAAACAAGATACTTAGATTTGGAATGGTCTAATGATCTGCTTATGAACTAGAGAATTAAACTGTCATGAATAGTGCTTAATAAATATATGAATGGTATGGGTGGTTGTTTGATTAAATGGTTTCGCTCGAGAATTTAGTTTTGCTCACCATTAGCTAATGGGTTATACACAGTTAGCTAAAGAGGGTTAATTGAATCCATTAGAAAACCTATTAGTAAACGGGAAAATTATTTGTGGAAACTTAACTGACAAAGCTAGTTAGAGAAAGAAAATGAAAATCTGTTAGCTATGTGCAGGGTGGTTCATTTGAATTTTTCTAACCTTATTATTCTGTCTGAATATATGCAGGGCTGCAAACACTCATGAGCTGATTCTGGATTTGATTTCACTTTCTTCTGATGTTTCCCCTTGCATTGCTGGATTTTGGATAATAGGTGCAAGAGCTGAGTTTGGTATGAGGAACTTGCAGGTTTTCCAGGACCGATTTTTTTTACTCAATACCGAGGTTCGATTTCTGGTCTTCCCCAACAAACAACAGGAAGCATAAGTTTTTAGTTAGCCTTGATCTGTTATGAGATGCTTATACGACTGTTTTTATTCTGTTTTTCTCATTTGTGCAGAGTAACGTTGCTTTGAGACAAGAAAACAATGCGTCGTATCACGAGTATAAATTGCTCTGAAGTGTCTTCCTATTTTGTAATGAAGCTAGCTATGTTTTGTGCAGGCGGTTGTTTGAAGAATGCAGCAGGTTAGTTCATTTGGGGCATGCAGATTGAAGAATGCATGAAGATGGAGAACTTTGGCATGACATGGATTTGGAAGTTCACTCATGGAATTTTAGCACCTTTAGCACCTAGGAATTTTGTTCAAGTGCATTTTTGTAACAGTTTTTCTTTTTGGATTTTTGGTATAATGGGATTGTAATGGTTTTATAATGAATGGTGAAATTGGATGAACTTGAGTATTATAGTGTGAATTGTAAATGGCTTTGTGCTTGTAATTCACTTGAAACCAAGGTAATGCAATATGATCTTGAATAGAAATGTATCTTTGGGAACTCTTGAATCAAATCAAATTATCAAGGGTGCAAACTACTTCCTTTTCATTTGATTTTGAGTTTGATATCCCAAGTAATTCATTGACCTTGTGTTAGTGAAATCCCAATGTCGCGCATTTTATCAATTTGGATGAACTCCCTTTCTTGACGATCTTCAAATGAACGAATATAGGTTTCCTTAAATCAACTTGAATGAATCCATGCTTAGACATCTGCGTGTCCTTAATTCAAAACCCTAATCTTCCATACAAAGCTTTTATATTTTGATCTCAAAGCATTGAAATGAAATCTGAAGAAAGTAGATTGTATCACAAGTAAGCCAGTCAACCAGATGAAGAACTTTGCATCATAAGGCATACAAACCCTAATTCGTGAAGAAGGTCCAACTGAATCTTCTTCTCTAGAATAGAGCTTGTGCCCACATGACTTGAGATTCAAGAAATGATTTCCTTCTTATTTTCCAAAGATATATCAATTGAAACCTTGGTTTTTCATGGACGATATCCCCTGATGATAGCCTTTCTTGATAATCACAACTTCACAGAGAAACCTCTTTTGAATGGTACATGATTTAGAGAAATAAACCCCAACCAAAGGATGACATTGAGCACAAGGAGATAATGAATGCCTAATTTAGTAGCCCTTAGGTGACCTCGTAGAATAACTCGAAAATGAACATGGGAATACAGAAATAAATATGACCAAGATGGCCATGACTTTAAAACCTAATGAACCTGAGTTGATGAAATACTGACAAGCACAAACTTGGTAGAGAAAAACTCTGATTTTTGTCTTGAATGCGTCTGAATGAGTAATAGCCCCGTAGCTTGAAGAGAACAGAACCCTTAATAAGCATAAATTACAACCCTAATTCCAAATTTCACTGCTTGAAGGATAACCAGAAGAATCAGGCTTTATTTAACATATACGCCTTAGTCACTGAAAACCATAACTTGCTCAATCAGCTGAACCTTTGAACCAAAGTACTTTATTAAATGCGATGTTATGTTAATGACCTAATGGAATATATGCAGATGAATGCAAAAGCCTAAGTCATATAAAAGAAATTAGGAGAGAAAATTTTGGGGTGCAACACCCGCTAAGTTGAAACTTGAAAACAAGTCGCTTAGGCAAAAGTTAGGGCATCCCACTGGACTTCAAAATTCAAAAGAATTCGTCCAGGCAAAATTTAGGGAAAACAAAAAGAAAATGAAAAGCGCAAAAAGAGAAAAAGGATTACGAAATAAAAATGCTCAAAGGAACAAAGTTGTGTGACTAGAAACACAAAGGAAGAGGTGAGTGGCTACCGTGTCCAAAAAACCTCAGTGGTTCCTCAACCATCATAAGCTCCTCTCGAGAGATGAGTGCTCGCATTGGTTTAGCTGAACATATGACTGGAGAACATCATGAAGAATGTGTGGGCACCAAATATTTTGAGCCTTAAATCCTTTTTTCTAAAAATATGAACCAGACCACGTTACAACCCTTAAAAGTCCTAACTAAAGCAAGGGTTAATTCAAAAGAAAGACTGTAACGAGAGTACAATAATCTGACTCCTAGGAGGCTTGCTAAAACTTTTGAGTTGGTGTCACTCCATCTTTTTACTTTCTTTCTCACAAAAAATTTGACGTTTAATCTTTTCAATAAAAGTTTTTAAACTTCAAGACAAACATGAGCTTTGCATTAGAATTATCATTCTCGGAATAAACATTCTTTGCATATGAACAAGTGCTTAAACATCAAGCAAGCTTGCACGATGAGCATCAGATGAAAGGTTGATTATCCAAAGGGACAATTTGTTTCAGGAATATGTTGAAAGTATTCTCTCCAAAGTCCACTTTCTAGTGGAATTCCTACTCAAAGTTTGACTTGTTAAAGTTGCAATCTTGCATCGCAGTTTTTACCCAGTTGCACTATTGATCTTTCATGACTAGAAGAATACCAGTAAATGAATCAAGAAGGGCCTGTGTACAACCAACAAGAAGATTTCTATAGAATGGGATTCAATTTCCTCGATGAATGCTCATCGCTGCTCAATACAAAATCATTCATCCCCAGTGAAGGTGTACTCCCATCTGAGTATAATTCCTCCTTCTTAGTGCAGTCTATTTCTATGCATGTTTTCTCGAAAGAAATGTTTTATTCACCAACCGAAGATTCTTGATATACTCCCCTTGAAATCGATATTTTGTGGCTTCCCCAGTGAGGTTCACACTCGTTCTCCCCATGAAGTATGCATTCTCCTCCTCAATAAGGGGTACACTATCTCTCTCCAATGCGGCATGCCTATATTGGAGTTTCTTGAAGAGATTCATGTTTACCTATGGGAGGTTATGGTTCTGTATCCTCATGAGGATGGCCATCATCCTCAATGAAGTGATTTCTGCCCCCTAGTATAAAAATCCTTGTTGGCTTGAACCTTGCAGAGATGGCTACATCCAGTGTGCTGGGTATTGTTGATGTTACCATCTAAATTTTTTGGCTCTCTCGTGTAAAAGGTAGTCTTTATCCCCATTCGAAGTTGAATTTTGAGGACCTGCCAGAATAACTTGTCTATTATTCCCAAGTGGAGCAAGTTTTATTTCCCTAGTGGAGCAAGTTTTCTTTCCCTAGAATTTTTCGAAGTACAAAAAGTCAGCATCTTTTTCTCAACTTTGACTCATCACAACTTTCAGCTCAAGCATCCATTTAATTCCATTCTTTGCACATTGTAAAGTTTGTGATCTCATCTTTCCAATGCATCAAGATTCAAGTCCTAAGGTTCCATAAATCATGGACACCAATGATTCAAATATGGTACCTTGAAAATGAAGTTTTCTCCAAAGTCAGAATTTGAAATCCTTGATTTGGTCTCTAAACACAAAATTTATGCGCTTTTTTGCTTCTAATCATGTTTAATGAACTTCCAGAAATTATTAGCTCATTTAAACACAAGTTTTGGTTGAGTTTTGAGAAAAATAGAAGTCAAACTTTTCATGTTTGCAACTTTACACGATTTCCCTCCAAACTTCACATTTCACATGCTTAAGCATTCCATTAGTTTCCCTATAAATAGAGGGTCATACCTCATTCATTCTATCAAGCTTGAAGAGCCAAAATCACTCTGTCAAACTCCCTCCATAACTCCCTTTTCTGAGATTTAAAATTCCTATTTTCTCCACTTTTCAATTCAATTTCTTCATTGATCTTTCATCCTTGAACTTCCTTAAACTAACAGAAGAAGAATCAAGCCTTGAGGTATCTAGAATCGTGCTAGCCAAGTTCATTTACAGAGCAACTTCATATGACTTAGTTCAGGTGGTTTAAGGCACCAAATCTTCTAACTCAAATTACCGGAATGGTCTATCATGTTCACTGGTGCTTGTTGATAACTCAATTTTGGTGGAATAATGCATTTGATGCTTATGATTTTCGATTTTAACAGTTTTAAAAATCTATAGTTTTTTCCAAATCAACTACGCTATGCTTTATATAAATTTTTCGCGAGCATAAGGTTGTGATCGTCTCAAGTAGACGCATCTAATGGTACCACTATGAATGCGTAAATTTACATATTCAAGGATTTGAGATTTTCCCTATTTGCAGGAGGCTAAAGGTTGAAGACGACCTACGTGTCATTCTTCAACCCATGACAATAGGCCAATTATTTTATTTTTATTGGTTGGATTTATTGTGATGCATGCGTGCGCTCTGTCTTGGATACATGATGCTCCCTCACCTCAGATCCGTTGGATTTTCCAGCGTGTATTTGTGAGAAAGATCCAACGTGCGTGGTTTTTTCTGATTTGTTTTATTTTACAAAACTATATTTTAAATTCCTTTTATCTTTAAAAATTCATAACTCTTTTATTTTTTATCAAAAAATTATGAAAAAATATGCAGAAATACTTTGAAATTATTTATGATATTGTGAATATTTTTATTTTAATGTTTGATATTTTTCATAAACTCTTGTTTTGTTTGCTTTATTTTAATTGTTTTAAAAATACTTTATAAAATTTTTAAATTATGATCTTTTTTTATATAAATCATATTTCTTATTTCTGATCTTCTGAAATTTTTCTAGAATTTTATTTTGAATCTTACCACTTTTGATATTTTTCACTTATTTGAGAGATTTTAACTAGTTTAAAAATACTTTTCTGTTTTAAAAAAATATCAAAAAATTTATAAAAATATTTGAGATCATCTCTGATTTTTCGATGATCTCTTTCAATTTTTCTTTGATATTTTGAATATAGTTTTCTATTTTCCCTTTTATTTTCATTTTAAAAACATGTTAAAAATCATTTTTATTTTTTTTTCATTAAATGCATATTTATTTTTGTACATATTCTGACTATTTTACTTTTGATCATGGACTTTATTAACATTATTAGATCTTGGGTGTTGAGTTTAACTCCACCAAATTGGATGAGTGATTTTAATGATAGTTTGAGTAATTTTTTCATTTCAAATATATCCTTTTCCTCTTCATCTTATCCTCTTCTTATTGTGTCACATGTTGATTAGAGGATGATGTACATATCATATCTCCAAACATATGATATATAAATTTCTATTGACCGGCCTCAAAATAGGTGCAACTTCTATATAAGTCCACTTACGATTGGTTAACATAGCGCTTGTCCCGATTCGAGAAATTATCATTCGTGGCCCAAACCTCTGTTTGCAAGCCCAAGTATGTTAATTTGAAACCTTTGATCCAATAATCTTTTGATTCATTGTTAGGAGGTGTTGCACCCCAAAATTTTCCCTCTCATTTTCCAAGACA